ATTTTCCTTCATTTAATTAAGAATTTACAGATTGCTTGGATCAAATTTCCATTATTGTTTCAGGTTTTCATCAAAAGTTCACATTGCTTTATAAGTTATTCTAAACTAATTTTGATTTCCTTTCCAGCAACAATACGTGTGTATACACCAATGTCTATTGTGTGTGTTAGAGGGGAGAGAAGAGGAACACGTGTATCAGAATGTAGGCATAGCTAACGCAGCTTTTGATGGTAAGAACAACGGGGCATGGAGATGTACTGCTTAGCAATCTGTCATCAAATTGATTACTTTTCATGTCAATTTTCAAATTAACTGCAAAATTTATACTATATGAATGTGTATGCTTTTATAATGTAGGTCTAATATAGCATTTTATTAGGCCTTTTTTTCTTATTTAAAACATGCCAAGTAGCTATCATGAATTTAACTTATTAAATGATTCACACCTTTTCAGCTGATGATGAAGGCATCAATGTAGAAATCCCCTGAGAGGACCTCACTGCCAAACTATACTAGTGTTTCCCCTAAAGGCTTCATGTCTTCTGATATATGTGTCCTCATTCCTATAGGATATGTTGTTGGAACTGAGTATTTTTCTCTTGACAAGGAATACATCACATTTTTAAACATCATTCTAATTTAAAAATTACAATTAACTCCCTTATGAAAGATACAACGAAATTTTTATTGTGGGCCCTCTGGTACCTTGCAGATTTTCCCCCATATTTCTACTGCATAATCCCACCACATTCATAATTATAAACTGCCAGTACATTTGTTTTTTTCTAATGATGTTTTTTCATATTTGATAGATATTCAATGTTTTTAATTGTTTAATATGCTTCTATTTTTATTGTGGTAGTGATATTACATGATAAGGTTGTGTGTTTTATTCTATCAGAATTGTTGGTGCTGTCAATATTGTGTACATATCCATTCCATATCCATGTATATATTGTTTTATTTTTTATGATATTTATTATATTTATTGTTTGACACATTTGTTAACTGCATATTTTTAAAAAAAATTACATTGAAAGTTAAAAGTATGAATTATTGTCACAAATTAAATATTGACCAAAACAAAATTTTTTCTGAAATTATTTTCAAAATTATGTGCATACAAAGTTTTGACATTTTGGACAAAAAAGGCACAATTAATGTATGTATTTAATTTACATTTTTTTTTTCAGAATATTGTGCCATTACAATTTACATAGATTTATTTTTGTAACACTTGAATTTCTATGCATTTAACAGTTGTTTATTATTGTGCCTTATGTAGTACATGTATGTATACCTGTATAATTAAGATCTGTTTACAAGAACAAAGGCCTTGATATGTATTTGTTAAAACAGGTTGTGTGATATTATATATATATATATTTTTTTTTTACAAAATAATTGAGTAGAATAATCAGCATTCCTTGTAAACTTAATTTTTTTATTAAATTCTTGCACAAGAATAGATGTTGATGTTAAATTTACATCCGTAACTCATATGTGATTGTTACATAAACATTAACAGATTGAATGCAGACTTTATAGAATATACTTTTGTGATTTTTAGCAAACATCTGTATGTTGAGAGTAGGATCTGACTACAATTCTCTTAATTCTTAATTGGTTTATGAAATAATTTGACTTGATATATATATGATATAATTTGATGGCACACTTTTATTAGATATATTTATATACTGGGATACTTTTTGCAGAAATTCTTTTTTGCACAAATGTTTTGATTTAAATTATATATATATACATGTAACATGTTCAGGTTTGGATTTTTCACATAATAACTGTTCAATTAAATTGATTTATATAAAAAAAACTCTTTAAGAATATTTCATTTTTTTTTTTTATCAATTGTCTGTATGTTTGTAGGTTTTAAGGTCGAAGTATAATGCTATTACATGTATTAAGGAACTTCTCAGTATATTATACAAATATAGATACAGTACAATGGGCATTAAAGACCACTCATTTCTTGGCCCTTTTTCATGTTCATTTGCACAGTATGCAGCTGCATGTACTCCATAGTATTTTCCATTACATTTCCACAAATTAATAGTTTGTTTTTCATATGACATATAATATATGTTTGTGTTGTTAACTAGATATAATTTTCAAAGTGCTACATGTATAAGTTAGCGTATATTGTAATAATAATAATCCATTTTTCATTCATCACTAAATGTCTGGAAGGAGATGAATTTTTCAATAGATCTAGTCAGCTGTCTATTTCTGACCTCAAGACCAGTTGTGCAGTTCTTAATTAAAATATAACATCCACTTAATGATGTTGTGTTTCAAAATGAGTAGATTCTGTCATACTGTCATTTTATTTACAATAAATGTTTAAAAAAAATTGTGCATTCAAATTTTCATGCATTTATCCTTCAATTACTTGAATAGTTTGTAGAAAATTATATATTTCACTAATTTTTTAAAATGACTACATGTATTTATACATATAATATGTATATAAACACATTGATCAAGATAAAACATTTAATAGGATAATTATTTTAGTATACAAAATCATGAGAACTTCTTTCATTTTAAAGTAATAACTGTACATGTATGCAGTATGTTTTGAACTGAATAATAATCACTGTAGATACTTGTACACTGTCATGTGTTGGTTAGTTGTCCCACATAGAGATTGTTCTCATCATCCACACACACACTACGGGGAGCGAATACCCTTGTTGTCGTGTGAGTAATAGAGACAAGAACTGACCGTCCTGATCAAGTAGGTGAACAGTGTAACTGTAATTATCACACACCAGGATGTGACCGAGGACATCAGTACAGATTCCATAGGGAAGGAACAGTGACCCCTGACCTGTGTAGGAGAACCTGTGTTGTCCTGATTTATTTACCACCACTACTGCCTCTTTATTATTGTCTGATACACAGATATCTCCATTGATTTTTTTGTGATGTAGTGTGGATAACTTACAGTTCCTGTCCTTTGTTATCCCTCTGTATGTTTGTAGTTCTTTTCCTGTCTTGTTGTACCTGGTGACTTTAGCCTTTCCCCAATCTTATACCCCCACCAGTAAGCCCCCATTGATGTGAGAGGAGTGTATGCTGGTGGTTCCCAGTCTCCAGTTTTAATAAATTCAGTGATATTTTATCCTGTGTTATCCTATTGATGACTTTCTTATTTCGTCGTAAAGATCAGACCCCGTCCTGTGTGACTGTGTGGTAACCTTCCGTTTACCACTGGTTTCTGTTTCTCTGTATCACATTCCCCTGTAGATCTGTTTGGACAAGATTACCATCATAGTCACTGATCCAGAGTCTGTCTGATTGATCTCGTGATACATGGAATACACGATCAACACCTGGTACATAGAACTCCCTGAGCCTTGGTGACAGAGGCAGATAGAGACATTGTTTGTTCTTGTAGGATTTTTCACATGTTTATCTTGTTTTGTCTGTTCACTTGTAGATTTCCTTGATGTAGCAATAGGAGTAATTTCCATTGGCTTTACTCTTCTTAGTTCTGCCTTTCTTTCTGTTTTAATTACTTTCCCTAATAATTTAGCAACATCATTTTTGTTGTATTGAGCAGAAGAAAATTCTGGTGTGACCGGTTTGGTAGTTTCTGGTATGGATTTTATTCTTAAGTTGTCTTGAAGTTGAGTTTTGAAGTTAGTGAGCTCAGTAGAGGACAGGTAACTCTGGAACTCTTTAACAAGGTCACTGAGATAGGCAATATAATCATCAAATGTCTTCTCTTGGCTACTTAATTTCTTCAGTAATGATTTCTCTATTTGGTTTAATTCTTCCATATTTTCTGAGAGCACTGTGTCCACCATGTTTTTGAGGGACTCGGCTTCAGCCTTCATGGATGTCCGTATGCTGTCCATGATCTGTTCAACTTCTGTGGCATCTTCCCGAACTTCTCTCTGTAAATCCTGTGATGTAGGAACAAAGTAATTATGGATTTTAGATAGTTCCTTTTGACATAGAGCAAATTTCTCTGTGTAGATAGTTTCTAAATCAATAAAATGATGTCCCCAGTGTGCTTGCATTGTTGAACACTTGGAACATATAGGAATGTTACATTCTTCACATAAAATATCTATATCTTTAGTGGGGTGGATCTTACATTTCTTCACAGGAGGTTGTCGTCTTCGTTGTTGATAAATGACCACTTCATGGTTTTTGTTTTCTGGAATCTTTAGATGTTGGTCTCTGCATGATTTACACATCTGTTGATGGCATGAATTGCAGTAAAATTCACAATTTTTCTCGCAATTTTCAATTTCACACTCTAGAAAGTGTTGGGCAGTGCCTGGTATTTTTTGTTTTGAAAGTGCCATCTGAAATAAAAAAAAAATTAATCTGACAAAACATCTTTTTTCTGTCATAATGCTTATCTTATATATGGGAATTAGACCTAACAACTAAAAAGATAAAATGCTGAATTTGTTGAGAAGACTTCAAACTATATGTACATTATATAGATTATATACGGCATAATTCCATGACGTGATGTAGTTTCAGCCTTTTAAACTATCTCAGTATCTGTCTCATTTGTAGTCCGAGAAATCTGACGTTTTTCTGGCTTTTTTACGATTTTGATTTTCGGACTATCTCATTTGTTGCATTTCAATTTTGGTTTGAATGACCTCTATTAAAAAGAAAGATAGTTGTCTATATCATAATCCATCTACTTTTACTTTAGTCGAGACTTTGATGAGACTTGTAACTAGTCTCTAAATAACACGGCGTCTCCGTAAATCTACGTCATCGGACGGGTCTGGACAAAGAAATGGACGTAAGCGTTTGTAACCATGTAAGAAGTTGATATTTTTGCATTTATAGCACTGGTTATCTAAATCAGTATCCTGCCTAAAGTATGCCAAAGAACGTCAACTACAATAGACAATGTACGTTTGCTCGTGATAGTATCTTATTGTTCCAAACACTAAATAGACACAGTTTGAAAACAAGTGAGGTGGACCCAGCGGATGTGGGGTAACAGAGAAAAAAATTCGACCAATTATTCGCATGTTAGAGATGTACGGTGAAATTATTTTATTCTTCCTGCGTATACACTAGAACTAATATAATTTAAAAATCCTGATGTTTTTAAATAGTTTATTATGTTCCTGGTGCATTATCCAAGAAAAAAGTATAAAGACGAGTTATAGCATTCCCCGAAATGATGTAGGGCACACCAATAATGTTAAAGACGGAAGTGTTATACACAAATCGGTTACTTTCATTATCATATCAGTGGCAAATACGAGCATTCACATCTTAGATTTGATTTAAATGACTGCCGTTTGATAGTTTATGAACAATATCCTGTACATTTAATGGTTTTTAATACTCATCCAAATACTTAAAATCCGTCTACTTTCTTCGTTAACAGCAAAAATTATAGAGCTGAAGAACGCTTAGTTATTTACTTCAGCACTTCTTCCAACATGAATTTTAAATTTTGACTTTTATTAAATTTCAGTGGTTACCTTACCGGTGTTCACTTCTGCAGATCCATAGAAAGAGGGAGGGGGGTGGGTCGAAGTCCGGAGATTGTGTTTATTGATATATCAAACGTTTATGTGTTTGACTTCTTCTGGATTGTGTCCGATATTAAAAACAATCTTTAAACACACACACACATACAAACTCACGAAATAAGTTTTTTTTTTAGCTTTGTTGCTTACTTTCATTTTGCTTTCGTCAAAATATTTGGAGTCAGACTTAAATTCTTTGGACTTTGTGTGGACTCCCCCCCCCCCCCCGAACAAAGTTCTTCTAACAGCTTTAAATTGGTATTAATATAACTTTTACACTAGTTGTTTTTATTGCTGATTTATCATGTATTTATTTAAATCGTGTAGGTGTGTTCTTCTGCTCAAATATTTGCAACAACTGACCTTCCAGGCGATAATAACGAATTACGTATTTTCCCCTCACAGTGGTCTAAAAATTGATCGGGAAATTCCAAATTGCAACAAATAGTTTTGGAATTAACTTGTAACCTGTGTAATTTACTTCCTGGCTTGCACTCAGGTGAACATAATATTAGTAATCGAATGTATGAAAGTCGTTGGAAGTGATGGGCAGGGCCAAAACAAAACTTGAAGTTAAAAATTGTATATTGTCTAGCTGCCAATCAAAATCAAAAGCTGTCATTTTTCTCTGATAATGACCCCCCCCCCTTTTCAAACCTTATCATAAAAAGAGCTTGACATTATTTCTTTTTTATGTAACAAGGAAAAATTTTTACAACAAAAAAAATCCCATTTTTGGACGGGGAGGTAATGTTTATTTAAGCCGCACGTATCATTGCTTTTGGCTAAGAATATTCCAGGTTGAATGTAAATAGAATTGACATGAACTGCTCTTATGAGTACGTAATATTTAATCACTGATTTTACATACATGTGTCTTTCCTGATATACTTTACTTTATCAAATAAAATAGTACATTTTCATGGCTATCTTCATATAGTCATGTTGTATATTTTATTTGATAATCCCTATCTACCACGTACCCTTCTTAAAACAATAACTTTTTTTTCAAATTAATGGCGCCTGATGTTAACGGAAACGTAAATGTTCAGTTTTGTCTAGATCTTTTTCTCAAATTTATGGAGTCGGTAATTAACTATTTATTAATTTTGAAAGAATTTTTCAGCTTTTAAATATTTGAGCAACACATTCCCCAAAAATTCCTGTCGTTTATCAGCTCGACATTTTTGTATATTTACCGACATGACTATAAAAACAAACATTGAATATGCAAATACAGAAACTTTTCGAAGGGGGGGGGTGTCCACACAAACTCCAAAAAGAAGTTCTGACTCCAAAATATTTTTACAAGCAAAGCAAATTAAACTTAATCTCAAAAAGCTATTTTATACCTGTGTTTAATTGGGCCTGGGTCGTGTTACTTAACACAAAAATATCGTAGAGTATTCCTTTAATCATTTAACACCAGACTTCAAACCCTCCTTTTTGATATACATACATCAAATACAATTTTTCAATATGATATTTAATAAAAGTCAAAATTTAAAATTGTGTATTTTTCGAATTCAAATTTTTTTGGTGATCAGACCGGCCATTTCAACTTTGGGTAATAAAAACTTTCTTTAGGTAGCTGGTAGTAAAAATAATCTTTATAATTCCAATTAAAGATTTTTGAACGACCAGTATTTTGACAAGCAGAAAAGTAAGACAAAGCTCAATAAAAAACTTATTTCGCGAGTTTGTAGAGGGTGTGTGTGTGTGTGTGTGTGTGTGTTGTTACACATTTTTAAATAAAATTTGGAATATTGTGTTTTGCTTCCAAAATGTATGTAACTAAAATGGATATATCAATAAACACAAGTGTAGATTTAAAGGCTTCGACCCCCCCCCCTCCCTCTTTCTATGGATCTGCAGAAGTGAACACCGGTAAATTTCTACATGAAATTTAATAAAAATTCAAAATTTAAAATTCATGTTGGAAGCTTTTTAAATGGAGATCAGACCAGCGTATTGAACTACTGTTTTTATATGTATACAAGCAAAAATTACTGAAGGATTTAGTTGGATGAGTATTACAAAGATATGTACAGGTTATGCATTCCTAAACTATCAAACGGCAGTCATTTAAATGTTGAAACTTTAATATGTTGATTTTTTATTTAATTTTATTTATTTGAAAAAAAAATAGTGTGTGTTCAATTCTCCGTGATTAAATGTAATTGTAGTGCCTTTCATCATTTCTGAAAACAAAATGATTTATACTGTTTTTCGTGGGGATAATTAAAGCATAATAAACTATGTAAAAAATCAGGATTTTTTAAAAATTCTTTCTAGTGTAAACGCGGAAAATGAAAATTCTAGTATTCTGGACATGCGATTAATTTCAATTTTAAAAATTAAACTCCACATCACCTATTTTCAATTTATATTCACACATGTGATATTTTGGAACAATAAGATTCTATCACGAGCAACGTTTTGTCTATTGTAAATGCGTTGACGTTCTTTGGCATACTTTAGGCAGGAAACTGATTTAATATTCATTCTTTATAAATGCAAAAATATCAACTTCTTACGTCGAAGCGGAGCATTTGTCCTCCATTTTTGTGTGTCCTAATCCCGTCCGATGACGTAGATTCTCCGCCGTGAATAATAAATACGTTTGTCAACAAATGGAATGTTAGAGCGAGATTTTAGTCGAGACTTTAACGAGATCCGTTACCTGTGTAATTTACTTCCTGGTTAGAGAAGTAAAAATAGATCTATTTAAATCACCTGACCAATAATCATGATAAAGCATGTACCTGTTTCTTTAAATAAAATCGTTGGAAACAAACTGAGAGTGGGGAAGGGGAAATCAAGTAAATAAAAGTTTGAGCACATTTATAATGCTATATGTTAGCTGCCAATTGAATTTCATAATGAGAATTTCGGCAATGTAAAAATAAAATTTTCATAATAAAAAATGCTGCGCTTTGATCAAGTTTACAATTTATTGTAAAAAAGAAGGGAAAATTGTTCAAGCTACTAATCATATTTTTGGAGGGAGGTTAATCGGGTTTTATTTCAAAAAACTTATCTATTCACGTATATGGTACTGCAACTGTGACCCTTTATCCCATTTTTCTTTAATGATGTACACCGGGATCGTTTACTCGTCATTTTGACCTCTATTCTCCGTTAAGTTTGACGTCACGTCAAACGTTACTTTGAAATCGCAAGATTTTAGTGTGTTGTACGTCTTTAAACTAGGAGTAGGACTTAAAATCAGAATTTTTATCTCTGACTCATGCGGCTAAATGTCAAAATTCAGAAATGTACATGTGTTAGTACCCTCAGGCTGGTCTTTCCATATTATCTCAGCTGCAATATGATAATTAAATGTGCATGTCTAATTTATCCACTTGATCGAAGTGTAAGTGAAAGGTGGCAAAACTTTGGATTTGAAAAGAGTGAATATTAATGTTTTGGTCAACAATATAAAATGGATAATCACTTCATTAATATTATTTTATGATTTAAGAATTCCCATCTCTCTAATTGCCTGAGAGAAAATTTTGAGACATACATTGAATACCAAGATGTGTTTGTGAATTACTATTCGCCCGGCGGCAACAAAGTAAGAAAAGACTATTTTTAGCATATCTAAGGTCACAGTCAAGGTCACAAGGTCATTGACCTTGGTGTCATCTGAAAGAACTTAATTAGTGGAGTATGCAGACTAA